ATTTACGGTGAATACTAATCTAGCGTGGCCTTTATAAATGTCCTCATTTGATGGTTTCTGGTCATGACGAAATCTCTCATATAACAAACGAAAGCCCAACATAGACCTATTTGAAGAACAGGACGCTGAATCAGAGTGTTTCTTGGGAAATCTAGAGAAAATAATTCTTAGACAATTCTCCGATTTCCGATTAAGTCAATTTGCAAATCCCTTCCATCCTTGTTTAAAAAAGCCAATAGGACATCAATTAAACAAGGGATTTTTCGAAATTGAGCTTATATTCATATTTCTAACACATATCACATATGTTACGAAACTCCCAATCGACAAAATATTTAAAAAGTACCAGTATCTGAATTTCTTACACGGGAACGGGCATTTTATGGAAGTGCCAAGTTATTTTACTACGATCCTAATTTTGAATAATATTTGCATAAAATCATCCACATTTTTGCACATTAAAGACATTTCTACAATTGCCTTTACGATAAATACGTGACTAATTTTATTTATAGCTTTATGTAATTCTTTAAAATTGAACCTAATCAAAACAAGTAGAACCACAACATTTGTGGGCTGGCATACAAGGGACTAGGACATAGGAAGGCATAACCTTGGCACTATGGATAGTAGCACGATAGATGCGGCGGAGACTGGAGCTAGTTGACTAACAGTAGACATATTTGATCATAGACGTGGTCCATGAAGCAAAGACTCGGGCTCTTAAGCTTCGAGTAAGTCTTCCATCCAACTTAAAAATACTGATTTTTAGGGGCCTATTCAGCGAGTCCGGAATATGCGTCACATAAGAGGCTTGAGACAGTGTGGGAAATAGCGCTTCGGGTAGTACAGGTAGGGTGGCAGGGGTCGAGTGAAATACCTGAACTAGGAATGTAGGAGACGGATCTTACAGGAAAAGAGGGAGATTTTGATAAGGCATGTGTAGAGGATTGCAGAGTAAAGGGGTGAGAAACCAGTGTGCGGTATGGAGAGTTCTCATGAAATCCGCTGAAAAAGGGCACACTGTCGCATTTAAATAAGAAATTTTGTTTGTGAAGGGGTGATCCGTGAGTATACGATTGGTGAATAGCCCAGGATAGAAGGAGAAGTACCACAATTGCTTAGCAGACAATTTGTCAAAGGATCGGCTTCACTTGTCTCTGACTATGGTGCTAAGACTGAAGATGCTGACTACGATGCTGGTGAGACGTCTGGGAATGTACCACGTCCGCGGTCTGACTGGACATTATCATGCATACTATGGACTCCGAACTAGGTGCGTTCCTCTATTTCTTCCTACCAATATGATCAAGTTGCGAAAACAAGGTCAAACAACTTTTAAAATTATATTTTGTTGTATAAAAGTGTATTATATAATTTGCTTATTTTTATTTTTCAGACTATTCGACTTTTCGAAAGAGCACTCAGGTAAATAAGGGGTATGCATATATTTAGGGTAATATTAGCCGTATAGCATTAGATGTTTAGCTTCTATATCTTCATGTATGTACTAATAGGAGTAATAAGATTGTTTTTAACATCGGCTTTCTATTTCCTTTTATTCAATTCTTATAATTGCTTTAATTAATAATTAGTTTAAATGTGAGGCACCATTAATGATTATTTGAGTTATTTTCACTCCGATTTGCGTTTCAGTAAAGTCTGAGGCAGCCCTTCATGCAGTCAACCCACGAAATCCCCTAGATTCTGGAGTATGTATTCATATTTTTATATAAGCCTTTTATTTTATTATTATGCTTTTTAAATGTATTTTTCTCGCTTTTACAAAACATTGTTGCATCTGTAGATTTGGAAAAAAATGATGAGAAAAATTATTATACTCAATTATCTCACTCAGATTAAACCTAAGGGTGTTGTGGCACGTTTTCATTTTTCTATGATTTCCCTTTTTCTGCTCTCTAGCAAATATAATAATGCCACTTTTTCCTAATCTTTTTCCCAGGAATTTCCTTTCCTCACTATTTCAATTATACCAAGGAATCTTATACTTCACTTCGGAAATGTCGTAGCTGCTAAGTCAGTGAAGATTTTGGAAAAAAATGCTCCAGGTATATCCACTTTATTACATGATCTCTCTTCATAATTTGGTTTTTGATTTTCTTTTATTATTTATTCTCTCAGTTTATAAATATTTTTTATTATTTTTTGGTTAGCTCACTTTCATTTCCTGGGCCCGGTTGCGCCAGTAGAATTCCCTTAGTATAGATAAAATGCATAGATGCTAATTAGGTAGTGACCACTGATGCCATTACTGAATTTGAGCCCTTGATTTTAGTTCATATTTTGGCTAATCATTTCACTTTAGGAAGAACGCTAGATTGACGTAGCCAATACTGTCGCATAAGCAGATATTAAGAGCCTATTTTTTACTCCTACCTGACATCGCATCTCAACTTAATCTGTCCCTGACTATATATAAGGGCTCGGCTTCACTTATAAAACGTTTACTGATTTCTATCTACAATATACTAGGCCTAGACAGCCAATTTGATATGTATTTAGCTTGCGCTATTTATGTGATATAACTTTAGAACCGCTTTATAGTTAAGATTATTATTGAGGTTGTTTGACCTTGTTTTCGCAACTTGTTCAAATTGGTAGAAAGACTTAGAGTAACACACCTAGTCCGGAGTCCATTGTATGCATGATCATTTCCAAGGTCGGATCGTGGACATGGTACATTCCCAGACATTTCGCTGGCATCTTCAGTGAGTCTTGCCATTCTTAGCACCACACAACAACTCGTCAATGAGACAAGTGAAGCCGATCCTTTGACCAAACGTGTGCTAAACAGTTGTGGTATCTCTCCTTCTGTCATAAGCTATTCTCCTGTCCTATATCCTCCTATAAGGCCTTCACTGTTACAATTTTTTACCGTGCTTATTTAGATGTAGTGTGGTGTGCCCTTTTGACCGGTATTCATGAGAACCCTCTACACTCCACGCTGGAGTTCTCACCCCCCATTCACCCTTATGCTGGAAATGTTGATCTGAGCCTGCCATATTGTTACGCAGTCCTCCTTCCCTAGTTCTTATCACAGTCTATCTCTGGCCCTGTAGGATCCGTATGCTATCTGCCTGGTTCAAGTATCTCACTAGACATTTGCCACCCCATCTGTACTACTCGAAGCGTTATTAGCCCTCCCCTGCATCTGGATGGCTAATTTGAGGCAAAATCCTCTGAGTAAGTCTCATGCTCAAGCCTTTGCTACATAGACGACGTCTCTAGTAGAACAGGCCTACTGTCAACCAACTAGTTCCAGTCTTCGTCGCATCTGTACTGTTTCTATCCCTAATACCATGTCTATGCCTTGTTATGCCTTAGTCTCTTGAGTGCCAACCCAAAAATGTTGTGGTACAGCTTGCTTTGAATAAGTTCAATGTATGATGCCGGCAATACGTCTGGGAATGCACCATGTCCACGGTCTGACTTTGGAAATGATCATGCATACAATGGACTCTGGACTAAGTGCGTTCCTCTAAGTCTTTCTACCAATATGACCAAGTTGCGAAAAAAAGGTCAAACAACCTCTATGCGACGACATGAAAGGCCACGCGATCTTGGTCTTCACACCCAAGATTATTATTGCTGGGGGCCTGGTCTTGCTGCATATTTTGAATCTGCCCGCTAGCTCAAGACCATAGTGTGTATTATTTTTTCCAGCCCAGCACTTTATATCCTAGTTCACTTACCTTTGATCTCGCATTTGCTTCATAAATCAAGTTAACACTAATCTACGCGATACCTGGTGGCTGGAGCTTCGTTCCGAACTCGTCACTCATATGCATAGTCTCAACTGCAATGCTGTGGTCGGTTACACGGAAGAGTGTTGCTTGTACGAAGACGTCTGCATTCTATCGAGTTATGGCACTGCAGTCCACCTCAATCCCAATTGGGCTCATTCTCCACGTCCTTGTTCTGTGGCCAACTTGCTAGAAAGGAGGGCTGCTGCCTCCACTACAACCTCAACGGATGCAGGGCGTTTGGTAGAGGATATAAAAAATGTTGTGCTGCCTTCTGATGAGCTTGGTAAATTGTAATACGACGTAACATGCAATCTGCTGCATTATTTACAAAAACTGGTTTTCGAAAAATCCCTTAATAAATAAATGTTGAAGTATTTTTCATTTCGTTTCAAGAGGCGAGTGGAAGAGATTCTAAAGTTGGTCTCGCCGGAGGCTGTAGGAGGATTGCCTTGTAGCTGTGATTACAGATTTGTGCGAATAAATCTTCAGCGCACCGCTCTGCAGCCCCGATGAATCCTTGCTGAGCTTTCGTCCATTATGTGACGGACATCATCTTAGCAGGATAACATTATTTATGATAATTCACGAAGCACAATGGCAAGAAAGGTGACCGACTGCAATCTTACTTACTTTTTATAGTTTGGCTAGATCCACTTAGTGAGACATTTCATGAGTTGGTCGAAGATCCTATGCTATTCCTGCATGCTGCTGAAAAGTGAAATGGCTAGAATTGAAGCGTGAAAAGGATACATTTGTGACCGAACAGCTGCATCCTCCTCTATAACAACTATCTTTTTTATTTGATCTTGCAATGGCGCAATGTGATTGTGTTCCATTACTGTGCGTTGTGTGCATGCAATGTTCGTGAAGCAAGATAAGTTTGAGAGTGAAAACGAGATTTGAGGCTAATCAAGCCTCCTCTTGCTCGGCGGTACTAATTGTTGCCTATATCTCTCGCTCTCTGGCTCTAATTCTATCCAACAGCCACAGATAGTTTCTACTTAATTTCCTACACTCGTTCCTTCTATTCAGGTTGTTTGCTGTTTTATTCAATATATGAAGACCAAGATGTTGGGGCCTCTGTTATGTTCCAATTTCCTTTCGATTTATGGAAGTGGGTTTACATCATTGTCGCAATTTGGAATTGTCGTCAGGGGGACTATGTGGAACGCACTTAGTCCGAAATCGTCTGCCATGATAGTTGTCATGATTCCCAGCATCTGACAGTGACTTGATACATTATCCTGTATGTATCGAGTCCACGGTCAGAATCATAACAACTATTATGGCAGACAACTTCGCACTAGGTGCGTTCTACATATTCCCCTGACGACAAGTCCAAGTTGCGACAACGAGGTCAACCACTTCTATTTGCCGTTTTGTTAGATTATACAGATTCCCTAATCTTCCGCTTCCTGGTATATTCTCCACATCCAGTTATACGTTTTAGCATTAAGCAAGTCTATTAAATGTTCTGCGTGAGCTAAGGGTTAGCCAGTTCTTAATTTTGTACCCACAAACCTATGTAGTCTATTTTATGTTAAGATAAACTCTTACATATGTGTCGACAGGTCTCCCACACATCTACGCTACCGCATGATCAAAAGCATTATAGCAGCCCGATTTGGAAAGTGGGTCCGAAATTTACCGAGAAATGATGGCATTGTTGAGGAAAGTTTTATTTTCTCCTTGTAAATTGTCCTGATATCCCACTTCCTCAGTAGTTATCCTATCTTTGTCGAGAGCTGGCAGACGGTAACATCAGGACCCTAGTCAAGTAGCATAGCTTCCTTTCTAGCTCAAAATAGATGTTTTCATCCATCCTATTAGCTTGAATTGTAAAGCACTTTTCAATTGATCCTAATGGGTAATCATTCGCAACAAAAATTTATTTGATATCCTCAATTCTTGCTCCTGATAGTTTACTTCTGCAAGATAGGCTCCTTGTTATTATGGATTTCATAACTCCAACTTTTTAAATATGAAGGGTAACGGGGTTTTGATGAGTCTCCTGAGCTAGCCTTGTTGGGGAGGTTTTCATTTTGTATGAAAGTGCATCGAGAAAAGATTCATAGGTTGATCTTACCAGAAGACGACTGCTGAATCCCATTGTAGTGCAGCTGTTTGGCCTTAATATTACGTTTCATTGACGTAGTCAACGCGACATTCTCCCTTGCTTCTGGTGAAAACCGGCTGAGCTTTCGTCCATCATATGTAGTACATCATTCGAGCTGCAACTCACTTGTAAAAGTCTAATATTCAGAATAGGTCATGAAGACTATACTGCTTTATTCTATCTCATATATACTCATAACTAAAAACGAAAATGAATAGATGTATATAGATATAGGATGGTTTGACTAGTTATCTGTCATAATGGTACTGCCACTTATCGAGTGTGTGTGTGTGTGTTTATGTATGTGTGCATTTATTAACGCCTATACGCAATACTTTTCCTAAATCAGAGTGATAAAAAAAGGCAAATTTAGGCTTTGGCCATCAAGTCTTAATGACCCCAGAAAAAGCCCTGTCCGAGACTGCGTAGGTCCGTAAGCAAGTATGGTTGAGATAATGAGATGTAATCTTGTAAGCATCTAAGTCAAGTTACGAAACCACCTTTCACTTTAGCGTTATTACCGTTTAAGAAAAGGCACGATTAGGGCCGCGTAATCTGGTACGTCTGGTTTGGTTGATTAGCTTAATCTAACTATCACTGAGCGGACAAGTTGAGTCTTCTTTTTTGTATGGCGGCTAATCACCCTCTTTCAATCTAGCATAAGTAGTTCCTAATCAACTTTAAACCAGCGTTCATTTTCAAAGTATTCCTTAATCTATTAATTTCAATAGACTTTGCCGAGAGCTGGCATGACGGTAACATCAGGACCCCAGTCGAATGGCATTGCTTTCTTTCTATCTCCAAATAGTTGTTTCTCTCCCTCTTATCTTACTTTTAATAGCAGTCGTATCATAAGCAGCAAATCTCCTAGATTTGATAACATTCTATCTCATTTTCAGGCAGACCATGTAGAACGCACTTAGTCCGAAGTCGTCTGCCATAGTAGTTGTCATGATTCCCAGCATATGACCGTGGACTTGATACATACAGGATAATGTATCAAGTCACTGTCAGATGCTGGGACTCATGACAACTACTATGGCAGACGACTTCAGACTAGGTGCGTTCTACATAGTCGCCCTGACGACAAGTCCAAATTGAGACAACGAGGTAGACCCACTTCTATAAATCGAAAGGAGACTACGACCAAGATGGTGTGGCTTCTTCTGTGGTCGCAGTCCCATTTCGATTTATATAAGTGGATTGACCTCATTGTCGCAACTTGTTCTTGTTGTCAGGGCGACTTAGTAAAACGCACCTAGTCCGAAGTCGT